TATGTGTGTGTGTGTGTGTGTGTGTGTGTGTGTGTGTGTGTGTGTGTGTGTGTGTGTAGGCTGTCAAGCTGAAGGAGGAGTCCTATCAGGCCTTGTTGGCCAGTGGGACTTCGGAGGCAGCTGAGGAGTACCAAAGGGCCAAGCGGTCCGCAGCCTTGGCTTTTGCTGAGGCAAAAGCTCAGATGTGGAAGGAGTTTGGTGAGACCTTGGATAGAGAGTCCGAGTCGGCTCCGAAGAGATTCTGGCAAACCATCAGACGGCTGAGGAGGGGAAGGCAGCACTTTACTAACACTGTATTCAGTGAAGGTGGGGTACTGTTGACCGAAACCAGTGATGTCGTCAGGAGGTGGAAGGAATACTTCTCAGACCTTCTCAATCCCACTAGCACATCTTCCATGGAGGAAGCTGAATCGGGAGACTTTAGGGTTGATCCATCCATAACCGTGGTTGAGGTCGCCAAGGTAGTTAAAAAGCTTAGAGGCGGCAGGGCTCCAGGAGTGGATGAGATTCACCCATATTTCCTTAAGGCTCTGGATGTTGTGGGGTTGTCTTGGTTGACACACCTTTGCAACGTCACGTGGACATTGGGAGCAGGGCCACTGGATTGGCAGACTGGGGTTGTGGTTACCTTCTTCAAAGAGGGGGACAGAAGGGTGTGCTCCAATTATAAGGGCATCACTCTCCTCAGCCTCCCTGGTAAGGTCTATTCAGGGGTACTGGAGAAGTGAGTCCGATTGTTGGGCGAACCTCAGATCTAGGAGAAACAATGTGGGTTTTGTCCTGACCGTGGAACACTGGCTCAGATCGTTACCCTCACTAGGGTCCTCGAGGGGTTATGAGACTTTGCCTATCCTGTCTACATGTGTTTTCTGGATTTGGAGAAGGCATTGGACTGTGTTCCTCAGGGTACACTGTGGGGGGTGCTCCGTGAGTATGGGATTGGAGGTTCATTGCTACGGGCTGTTCAATCCCTAAACAGGCGGTGTGAGAGCTTGGTTCGCATTGCCGGCAGTAAGTCGGACCCCTTCAAGGTGGGAGTTGGACTCCGCCAGGGCTGCCCGTTGTCACCGGTTCTGTTAATAACTTTTATGGACAGAATTTCTCGGTGTAGCCAGGGGGCGGAGAGTTTTTGGTTCAGTGGCCTCAGCATTCCATCTTCTCTCTGCTCTTTGCAGATGATGTGGTCCTGTTGGCGTCAACATGCCGTGATCTTCAGCTCTCACTGGAGCGTTTTGAAGCCGAGTGTGAGGTGGCTGGGACAAGAATCAGCACCTCCAAATCTGAGGCTATGGTCCTAAACCGGAAAAGGGTGGATTGCTCTCTCCAGATCAAGGGTGAGCGTCTTCCTCAAGTGGCGGAGTTCAAGTATATTTGGTTTTGTTCACGAATGAGGGAAGAATTGAGCATGAGATTGACAGATGGATTGGTGCAGGGTCTGCAGTATTGCAGACTCTGTATTGGTCCGTTGTGTTGAATAGAGAGCTGAGCTGTAAGGAAAAACTCTGTTTACTGGTAGTTTTACGTTCCTATCCTCACCTATTCAATTCAGTTTATTTATTTATATAGCGCCAAATCACAACAAAGTTGTCTCAGGGCACGTTACAAAAACATTCACATACATAAAAGCCGATTAGTAAAGTTCTCTATCTAAGGAATCCAGCAGACAAGTTTAATCTTGGCTTCATTGCAGTCTCCCTTCCTGAGCAAGCACAGTGGCAACAGTGGAAAGGAAAAACTCCCTTTTAAAAGGAAGAAACCTCCAGCAGAACCAGGCTCAGGACAAGCGGCCATCTGCTTTGACCGGTTGGTTGAGAGGACAGGAAGGAGAGACAGACAAACACAGAATGGCAGGTCCAGATATAGGTCCAGGTGTATCTGGAAGACAAAAAAACACATGTTAAGGATAGAAAAAATAATTACAAATACAAAACAGGTTGAGCAGAGTAAGTAAAGACAGTAGCAGAGTGAAAATTGTGGTCAGTTTGTCTTCCAGCAGTTTAAGCCTATAGCAGCATAAGGAAAGTGCCCTGAGACAACTTTGTTGTGATTTGGCGCTATATAAATAAACTGAATCGAATTGAATTGAATAGGTAGTCTCACTGAGCCACGAGAACTTATTTTCAAGAGAGACCTGTTTAGGGAGCAGATCGTGGGGGGTAAGGGCCTTGCTCAGGGGCCCAGAGTGGGGCGAATGAGGGTAGAGGGATAGGGTGAGAAGTTCGGTTGTCCAAGAGAGACTCGGAGTAGAACCGTTGCTCCCCCACATCAAGAGGAGCCAGTTGAGGTGGTTCGGGCATCTGGTAAGGATGCCCCCTGAACGCCTCACCAGACAGCTGCTTTGGGCTGTCCGATTGGGAAGAGACCCCAGGGAAGACCCAGGGCATGCTGGAGAGACTATTTCTCACTGTTGTCCTGGGAATGCCTTGAAATGCCCAGAAGAGCTTGAAGAGGTGGCTGTGGAAAAAGATGGCTGGGCTTTCCTGCTCAAGCTGCTGCCCCCGCAATGAGGTCATCCATTGTAGGTTTCTATACAATGATGATAGGTGATATATATATATATA